AACGCCGTTCTCAGCAGTTGGGCATGCCTCGGTCCACTTTACAACGGAACGCATTGATTTGCATTTGTTCCCGTACAAAATTCAATTGACGCAAAGAATGTTGCCTGCGGACAAGCCTCGTCGATTGGAATGCGCCCAAATAGCCATCGAAATGGCCGAAGACGACAAGCAATTTTGGAACAAAATTATCATGTCCGATGAAGCCCATTTCACATTGAATGGCACCGTAAATAAACAAAATTGCCGTTTTTACGCCACTGAAAATCCTCAGGAGATTCAAGAAGTGCCTCTTCATGACGAAAAGTCACAGTTTGGCCGTTTTTCTTCCAAAATGAAAATGGCCATGCTGTTACCATCAATCAGGAGCGTTATCGCGACATGATGACCAATTTTGTGATGTCAATTATTCGTCGAAAGCGTATGAGGCAGTTCTGGTTTCAACAAGACGGCGCTCCACCGCACACAAGTCGCATAACAATCGAAAAATGGGCAACCCTGTACTGGTCCATTCCTTTGGAACCTACTCCATAGAGGGTCAAAAATTTAAATAATCATTCTGTTATGATCAAAATATATCTAAATAATCGAACATTGTTGTGATCAATTTTGAGTTAATAATTTTTTCAATTGACTTTTTATTTGAGCCAAATAATATGGCAACATAATACACAAAAATTTACGTACTTCTCCTTTTAATAATTCCTACCAAAACGTAGGCCTGTTTGCAAAATGCTTGATGTGCAGCGGATTTGCCAAGCTAAGTAGAACAGCCTTCAAAGGTCAATAAATTTGTAGGTCAAATATTTTGCGCTAAACTTGGCAATGTTTATACCAAAGCTCAGACTCATTCGTTGAAGAAATTTAAAATTTTTGAAATCGCATTTACATTATATTTATTATTCACAAAATAAATTAATTATCCATAAAATGTATGTCCTGTAATTTGACAGCCAATGCTGTAATTATAAAATTGGCCACGATTGAAACATGGCACTTTGAAAATATATCTTTCCTCAAATATCAAATATCATAATCAAATGCCTTGGTATTGGAAAATTTATGCCTTGATTGGTTTCTAGAAATTTATTCAATTTACTTTTGGTTTGTGTTTTTTTTTTTTTTTCGATAAGTTTTCCCAAAAAAAAATTTGCTACTTTAATACAAAAATTTCACGATAAGATTTATTTCCCAGAATTCCATTTGGCATTTTACTTTCATTTTGACAATCGATAACATGGCTATCTACATGTCTCTGAAAAGAAATTGGAAAAATCCAAATTTAAGTGGCTCACAAAATGCTGATTTCATTGCAGACGTCAATAGTGAACTAGAAACTGTTAATTCATCTCAGAAAAAAAGAGGCCACAATTTTGCCAATTATATGGAAAACAAATGACAAGTTTGATTGGAAATTCATTTTCCAGACGAGATTTGGAATTTAGTTAAAGTTCTTTCCCTAAGGAATTCACATATCGTCGCTCATATCTTTTGGTACGAATCTATAAGAAATAGATTTTGCCAAATAAAATATTAAGGTTTTTTATAAAGATGTCAAAAATTGAATCAGCATATAAATTTAACAACTTATATAGATTTAAAAGTTTATTTGGTACAGAACTTTTTTATTGAACTCTTTGTTTTTTTTTTTTTATAGTCGGTAGTTTACAAAAAATTTTAGGATTTTCTAGAACTCTGTCGAAATCGTTGATTTTGTACAAAATTTGTTCTAAGGACTTCTTGGCACAATTTTTCAAATACTTTCCATTTATATAAAAATTCAGATTTGTTAACCGAAATTTTGTTCCTTTTTAAGAACTTCTATTTCATTAAGGAAATTTTTTGATATTTCCCATCCAAATTTCGGACAAATAAACAGCAGATTTTCCAAGACTTACTGAAGATAAATCCAAAAAAAAAAAACATTTTCAAAAACGTTTAATTTTAAGTAATTTTTTTTTAAATTACTCGGTCAAAAATTGGAATTTTTTTCAAGGACTTTTGACCAAACAAAGTGAAGATTTTTTAAGGACTCCATAAAAAGAAATCAGGGACAAAAGTGGAGAATTCTCTTCAAAGAACTTTTAACACAAAATCGGATGAAGCTGGAATTTTGAAATTTTGTATTGGGACCCCTGTTGGTAGTTGGCTTGTGATGAAGAGATGGTTTTGGTACACATTTCCAAAACCATCTCTTCATCAAAACCATCTCTTCATCTTCACGTGTGTACAAGAGTACTAAATAGTACTATATTTCGTAGAATTTTGTGTTGGGTGAACAGATAGTGATTAAAATCTGAATTTAGGTATTAAGGACGCTGCTCATATGTAGCCTGGATATATGTAGGTGGTTTCGAAAATGTGTAATACAATTGTACGTACGTATAGTACAAAATCGAAACTAAATGGTACCATATTTGATATTGGATGAAGAAATAGAGCTGAAATCCTGAAATTTGGTATTTAGCTTACTGATGGTATCTTTATATAAGATGTGGGGGTGGTTTGGAAATGCGCCCTTTATTTGTACGAAAAGTACTAAATGGTACCAAATTTGGTATTGGGTGAACGAATAGCGCTGATAATCTGAAATTTAATATTGAGGTCTCTGTTGATATCTGGAATTGAGATATAGAGGTAGCTTCGGGAATGCGTCCTATATCTGTAAAAAAAAAGTACTAAGTGTTACTAAATTTGGTATTGGGTGAAGGGATTGGGCTTGGGCTCCTCAAATTTGATATTGAGGTCCCTGTTAGTATCTGGAATTGAAATTTGGATGTGGTTTGGGAAATGTGTACTTCAATTGTACGAAAAGCACTAAATAGTACAATATTTGGTATTAGGTGAAGGGATAGGGCTGAAATCGTAAACATTTTATTTGTACGAAAAGTACTGAATAGTACTCAATTTGGTATTACCGATGGTGGAAATGTGTCCTATATTTCTACGAAAAGTACTAAATGGTACTAAATTTGGAATTGGGTGAAGGAATAGAGTTGGAATTCTCAAATTGCATATTGAGGTCTCTCTTGGTATTTGGAATTGACATATGAAGGTGGTTTGGAAATGTGTACTTTTATTTTACGAAAAGCACCAAATGGTACTTAATTGGTTAAAGGAATAGTGTACTATATTGGTATTGGTTAAAGGGATAGAGATACAATTTTGAAATTTCATATTTAGATTACTGATGGTATCTCTGATTGAGATTTGGTGGTGATTCGGAAATGTGTCCTATAGGTGTACGAAAAGTACTTAATTTAAAATTGTGTGGTGTGATGGGGCTCTGTTTGTATTTGGAATTTAAATATGGTGGAAATGTGTACCATTATTGTACGAGAAGTACTAAATAGTATTACATTTCGTATTGGGCGAAGGGATGAAAATAAAATTCTGAAATTTGATATTATTATTTGATTACTGATGGTATATATGGTTGAGATTTGGTGGTGGTTTGGAAATGCGTTCTATATTTGTACGAAAAGTACTAAATGGTACCAAATTTTGTATAAGATAAATGCATAGAGATGAAATTTTGTCAAACCAAACAAATTGTGATTTTTGAGTACTAACAACTAAAAAAAAGCACTAAGTTCGGCCGCGCCAAACTTTAAATACCCCCCACCATTTGGAAAGAATTTGGAAATTTTCCAAAAATATACTCTGCTAAAAATTCTGTTAAAATTTTAAAAATACCGAATATATCCGTTATATTGGGGTCTGTACGACGTGGATATACATAGACATTGTTTGTCATAAGCCATTACCATATTCAAATTCGAAACTTGAAATAAGCGGTGTATAATGTAGCTAAAGTCATCGAAATAGGGAGAACCGTTATATCGGAGCTATACAAAGACCTGGACTTGCATAGATAATTTTCTGTCACAGGCCGTAGCATCCATTACGAACTTCAAATATGACATCGCAAACAATTTCGGTGAGTATTGTATCTAAAGTCGTCAAAATGCCGAATATAGAGAGGTACTGATATATCGGGCCTATACTAAGACCTGGACCTGCATTGACAATTGAATTATTGTCACAGACTGTAGTTCCCATTACGAACTCTAAATACGTCATTTGAAAATACTCCGGTGAATAATGACGCTAAAATCATCAAAATATCGAATATAGGGAGATGCCGTTATATGGAGGCTATACGAAGACGTGGACCTGCTCAGACAATTTTCTGTCTTAAGCTAAAAATACCAAATTTGAAAAAAAAAGCCGATGAATAATGTCACTAAAATCATCAAAATACCGAATATCGTGAGGTACCGTTATATGGGAGCCATATGAAAACATGGACCTACATAGCCCATTTACGAACTTAACCTGCCTACTGGCAAAATAAACATGTGTGCAAAATTTTAACCTTCTATCTCAATTTGTTCGAAAGATAGCGTGATTCAAACAGACAGACGGACAGATAGACAGACAGACAGACACACAGATAGACAGACGGTCATCGCTAAATCGACTTAGAATTTTACGCTTATTTCCGAAATTCTGGCGTTTCGGTGATATTTAGAATTAGTGTGTATTCGGAGACCTATACTAGAATTTTATGATCAATATTTTTTAAGAATATTTTGACTTTTTAAGGTCTCATTCAGAAGGAGTTTTCAAGCATTTTTTTAAGGGGCAAAAATGTCATTTTGTTACTGAACATTTGGGGTTGAAATTTTAAATGAAAAGGATTCTCGTATTGTTGTCCGTAATATTACCGAAGACACTATATACCTAAAATATAAGAATTTTAAAAATAAAAATTCGAAAATTTCGAAAAAAATTGAACTTGCCCCTCTATTTTGATTACTTTGCAATGATTACTTTCAAAACGCCGATGCAAATGTCTGATAATTTAGCTCTACTTTCACAACTACTGAGTGGTTTCCTTTAATTGTGGAAAATATGAAATTTTGTTGCACAGTGTAATAAAGTAAAATAATCAGTAAAGTAATCACAATACTCTTTTGATTTTATAAATATGATATTGAAATTATGAATTTTTATTTAATATTTTTATAATCGCCTTAATCTCAATCCATGGCCTGGAGAAATGTAAACAACTGATAGGAAACTTTCAAAATCTGCAAAAAAAAAAGAATAATAGCAAAATAAATATTCAAATTGGCTGCATTCCAAACATACGGCCATAAATGTGGGCATTGAAACGGTGGTAAATTTATAAGCTGTCAAGACATTCGGTTCGCAGGAACGTAAAATGAAAAAGAGAATCATGCGACGATAGGATGCGTCTCCTTCATACCAGTTGTTGTAGAAGGCCGAGGGCATTATTGCATCGCTCTATAAAAAATTAATCGGAGCTATTAAATTATATTCGAAAGAGTTTTTGGGGGAAGATTTTTGCGACATTACTCGGTGAAAAAAGAGAGGTCCTATTTCAAAGGACACTAAAGGCAGGCATATGGAAGACTATTAATATATTCGTATCAAAGGATCAGGAAAGGTGAGAATATATAAAACGCTTTTTTGACTGGCTTAAGTCATTGGCTGGCTTCTTCGTCAAGGAACAAAGGAGCTTAGGGTGAGCAAGTATAAATTATGGGCCGAAATTGAACTAAATTCCCCAAATTTGTCAGGTAAAGACATTTGGTAAGCCTTAATTGGCATTTTATGGAACAAACCATATCTTCTTTTTTAATTGTCGTCTTTGACCTTGGGATGTCTTTATTAAAATAATTATAGATGACCCTAATTTTTTCCAATTAATGGTCGCCCTTTAATGGAAAATCCCATATTTCCGACAGCCCCTAAATGATGTTTATAGCCTACACCACATAGTGGTAGGGGTATTATGTCTTTGTGCATTTGTTTGTAGCATGGAGAAGGAAGCGAGACTTTCCGAGTCGATGTACGTCTGTCTGTCCTCCATGTATTTTTATGAACAAAATGCAGGTCGCATTTATTTTCCAATTGAGATGAAATTTTCAAAACATTATTTGTTTGGCCCAAGAATGAACCCTATTGAAATTGGTGAGAACCGGTTCAAATTTAAATATAGCTCCCATACATGTCTTCAACCGATTTTGGGTAAATTGTGTACCAAATGGCCAGTAACAGTCCAAATGACCTGAAATTTGGCACATCCGGTCGAATTCAGTCTAGAAGCAAGTATATCAAATTTCGTAAAAATCGGTTCAGATATAGCTAAAACTACCATATATATGTTTCATCCGATTTGATTAAATCCTTCATATGCGAAATATTTGGTTGTAGTTTTTTTATCTCACCCTGAATATTAATTCCCTCTGAATCCAAACTATAACTGTTCTAAGGCCAAATGCTGATAGTGGTATGACCTACTTCAAATAAATTCTTTTGTTACGGGAACTCTACTAAATATGCATTGTGGTGTAGGGTATCATATAGTCGGCCCCGCCCGACTTTTGACTTTTCCTTACAGGTTTAATATAGTTCTTATCGAAGTCATATCATGCACTATACAGAGGTGCAAAAGCCTCCGTCAAATTTGTTGAAAATCGTTTCAGAGTTGGATTTAATAACCAAATTGTATGGTCGCCCTTAATGGAAAATCCCTCAATTCAGAGAGCCCCTGAATGATAGTTTTATAAAAGAACTGGAGACATTTCATTTCTGTCCTTCATACGTTCCCCACTTTAAATGAAATATCCTTCCAAGCACCTGAGCTTATGTCGCAAAACTCTTCCCCACCAGAAAACAACATTCCAACTTACCGCATCTGTAAATTCTCCACCGTTATAGCAAATGAAAAATGTAAAAACCAAAAATGACAACAACCCCACCGAATACTTAAAGGTATGGGCCATGCTCAACATGACCATCGAACAGGCCATCATGCAAATGGCTATCGATGAAGTTATGAAATTCACCAGAAATGAAATATTGAAAATTTCATTAATTTCCTTGGAGTACCTAGAAAACAAACAACAACAACAGGTACAACATTCGCAATACCCTTCCGCTACGGCATCACTTGCTTACCTTAATAGTTTCGTATGATAAATAATTAAATATTTCAATTTTTCATTTGCCCTCACCGATGCTGCATCCAAATGCCTCAAGGCATTGGTCAAATAGTCGAAATGCATCTGCATTTGGGTTATGAAAAAACACAGCATAAACTCGCCGGCCATTATAAAGCCAACGCCAGTCAACGACGATTGCACTTGGCACACATACGAAGCAATGAAATTCAACCATGTCCTGGCGTTATCCTTCGTCTGCCACGGATACCAGGTGTTCGATTGATAGCGATATTTAATCTCTTGGTCAGGCAGCAGAAGTTCATAGAGGAGTTCCGCAATGGGGAGGGAGTTGTAAAAGCAAAAGGCAAAGATGAAAAATTTCGTTGTACGTCCCATCAAACGTTCAGAGGTCTGGGCAAAGTGGCGAACGCGATAGAGCGTTGGGTGGGCTGAAACGGGGAGTAAAAACAAATATTTATTAATGGTAATTAGAGAGAAGGGCTTTTAAATGTCTTTCATAGAGAGAATGGGCTCAAGAACTTTTAAAGCTTAGAAGGTTTTTCTATGGACCAACGTGCTTTTAAAGGTATGTATGAGTCCAAAAGCTATTATATTATCCTTTAGAGGCCTTCTATAGAAATAAATTCGCTTAATTGTATTTATTAATTGTATTGTATGCAATGACACTAGGGACCAACGAGCTTTTAAAGGTATGTCATGCGCCTAAGACTTTTTAAAGTCCCTATATGAACTGAATACTTTTTACAAGTCTTCCATAAGCCGAAAACCTTTTATATGAACCTTTAGATACCTTCCATGGATAGAAGTTCGCTTAATCGTATTAACTGGAATTACACCCTTTAAAGCTTTTGAAAGTATTTTATGGACCTGAGAGTTTTAAAGAGGGGTCGAGGGATCCAAAACAATTTAAACATGAAACAAATTGTCTTTACAGGTAGTATATGATCTGAAAAGCTTTTATAAGTCCTACATGGACCAAAAACATTTTAAAGCTCGGCCATGAACCGAGAAGCTTTTAAATGTTAAACATCGAACCAATTAAGGGTAAGTAGAAAATTTTGGTCTTCTATCTTCTAAGAATTATAAGACTTTTTGAAAGACTTTCGTGCATCGAAGAGCTTTTATTGGTTTTCCATGGACCATAGAGCTTTTAAAGAACTTCCAATAACAGAGCGCCCTTCAAATTTCTTCTAAAGACAGAAAACTCAAAAACATGAACCAAATAGTCTTTAGTGGTAGTCTATGAGCTGAAAAGCTTTTATAAATCTTACATTTTAAATGTCGGCCATTAACGGATGAGCTTTTAAACGTCATCTATGAGCATAACCCCAATTATGGGTAAACAGAAAATATTAACCGTCTGCCTTCTAATAAACATAAGACTTTTTGAAAGATTTCCGTACATTGAAGAGCTTTAGAAGTTTTCTATGGACCAAAGAGCTTTTAAATAAATTACAAAGATAGAATGTCCTTTACATTTTTTCTTTTCTTTTTTCTTATTCTATCGCACAGAACAGCTTTTAAATATTAACGATGGACAGAAGACTTAACAAGGTCGTTTAAAAGCGCTTAAGTCCATCGGAAAATATTTAGCCGGTAAAGAAAATTAATTTTATAGGTAAAATATATTATATAGGCCTACTGTGGAACGATGATCTCTTCGAAGCCTTTTATAAACAGAAGAGCTTTTACGAGTCTTCAATGGCCAAAAAAAAATGCAAAAGTTCTTGGTAAGATTAGAAATCCTTTTCAGGAATTTTATAGGCAAAATGCATTTTATGGACCCATGAGTTTTTCAAGAAATTTTAGTAAAAGGAGAGCTTTTCATTTCTTCGATGGCCAACAACCCTTTCAAGGGTCTTGGGCGACTTTATACAGGTCTTTAATGCACAGAAGAGTTTTCAAACGGCTTTATGGGTCGAAGAGCTTTAAAAGATCATCAACGTCTTGAAAACACAAAAGCGCTGGCAAGATTCATCTGTGGACAGAGAGTCTTCCTCAATGATCTTCTATGATCTTTGTAAAGATCCTTCATAGATCGTCTTGAAACCTCTGGCGGGGATCCTCTGTGGACTAAGAATCTTCTTCAAAGGTCTTCTATGGCCTGAAAAGCTTTTAAACGTCTCCTTGTATCGGAGAGCTTGTAAAGGCCTTACAAAGAAATAAAACGCTTTAAGGTTCTTCGAACTACAGAGAACCATTTAAATGTCTTCTACAGACTGAAGATTTTAAGGTTTTTTAGGGACAAAACAGCTTTTAAGCGACCTCTATAACTAAATATTTTTGAGGCCCTGCCAGAAGTCCTTTAAGGAGTCTTTTTTAGTCAGAAGACTTTTGCTTCTATGGAAAAGTAGTCAGTAGTAATCTGTAGTCAGAAAAGCAGATTATCCACGGTCAGAAAAGCTTTTAAAGATACTCCATACACTGAAAAACTTTTCAAAATCGTATATGGATTAAAGAGTTTTCAAAGGTCCGAAAAGATTTTTTTAAAGAACTTTTATATACAATAGAGCTTTCATGGGTCGAAGATCTTTGAAACGTCTTCCAAAACAAGAGACGTTGTAGGGTCCTCCTAAGGACAAAATCATTTAAATCTTTAATAGACCACAGAGCTTTTTTAAAGTATTTTAAAGGCCGAAGGAATTTGGAATGCTGTCTTACAACGGATGAAGCTTTAAAGTTCTTCTAACGACAAAGAATCATAAACATAACTTTTATGAACTGAAGACATTTGTTGAGTCTTCTAAGAAAGGGCTTTAACAAGTCGTCTGTAAAATAAAGGTCAGAAGAGCTTTTATAATGAGAAGACATTTTAAAAAGCTCATATGACCAGATTAAAAATTTGCAAAGCTCTTCCAATACCGAAAGCTTTGAAGGTCTTAAGATAGAAGAACCCATAAAATTTTTTCTGTGAACAGAAATCCACTTAACCAGTTCGCCTATGGACAAAATACCTTCTAAAGGCCTTCTGTGGTCAAGAGGAGCCCTAAGATCTTTCTATAACCCAAAAATTTTAACAGGACTTTAATGATTAGTTTTCTTTTTAATGATCTTCTGTAGAGCGTTACATGAAGCGAAAAATGGAAAAAAAATGAACGGAAGTGCGTTCCTCAAATCGCAAAGCTTTTAGGGGACTTTCATGGACAGAAGAGCTTTTAATGGTTACCCATGAACGGAAAAACCTTTAAATATCTTTAATAGAACAAAAAGGCTTTTAAAAGTCTTCCCGGCGTAAAACCCTTTCGTCTATAGACAAAATACCTTCTAAGAGCCTTCTATGGTCAAGAGCCATTTTAAGAGCTTTCTACGATCAGAGTAAAGAAGGTCTTAAATTTTTACTTTTCTGTAGCGTTACATGGACAAAAATACATTCAATGGACGGTAGAGCTTTCCTGGAATCAAAAAGCTTTAGAAAGTTTTCATGGACAGAAAAGCTTTAAATGGTCGTCCATGAAGGGAAACCCCTTTAAATATCTTTCGTAGACCAAAGAGCTTCTAAAAATCTACATGAACCGAAAATCTTGGTAATGTCTTCTAGAAACAGAAGAAGCTTTAGGGTTGTCTTAACGGCGGAAACCATTTAATTGACTTTTTGGACTAAAGACTTTTGAAGAGTCTTCTAAGGTTTTTTGTGTAGACCAAAAAGCCTTGAAAATTCGTGTGTGGAAAGAAGGCCTCCAAAGGGTTTCAGAATATATTTTTCTTCTGTGGACCAAAGAACTTTTTAAGGTCTTCAACGGATAAAAGGCCCTTAATAATAATTTTATTTGATGGAAGACACCATGAAGAGATGACCACTTAATGGTCTTCAGGTACGAAGAGCTTTTACAGGTTTACTATAGACAGAAGCCCTTCTAAAGATCTTCTAATGCCAAAGGACTTTTTATGGGTCAAAAGATCTTTCAAAGGTCCTTATGGTTAAAATTACAGAGAGAAGATTTTTCTCTCTGTAGGAGAGCTCTGCATGGATCGAATAGTTTTTAGAAGTCTTTAGAAACTCCTGAGGGCAATTGAAATTTTCAAAACGCATCAGCTGATCTCTTTTGGACCTTTTGCGGACAGAAATCTTTTTAAGGGACTTCCATGCACATAAGACAACTTAGGCGAAGACAACCACCACTCTAATGGTCTTCTATGTTCAGAAAGTCTTTAAAAGGTCTTCAATGGCCAGAAGACGGCAGATTGAGGGGTATTAAAAGGTCTTTCATAGGTCAAAGAGATTTTTTCTTTGGCCAGAAGCTTTTTTATGGACTGAAGACCTTTAACATCGCTGGAAGGCCTTTAAAACGGCTGCTTTTGCCAGACGTTCGCTTTTAAACCTTTTATGACGAGAAACCCAAAGAGTTTTTAAGGTCTTTTTCGGACAGAAGATATTTTAAAGGTCTTCTGTGACCAAGTCCTTTTAAATGGGTCTTCTACAAAAATAAGTCCCCTTTATATTCGCCTATAGACAGAATTCCGGTTGCATGACATCTAACACCAAAAGTAAACTTTTAAGGATCTTCTTTCGGCCTCATCAAAATTTCCACTTATAAAATCTTTCAGAAAAAAACTCACCAAATTGTTCCTTCTCATCGGGAAAAATCTCCTCCAATTCTTGCAGCAAAATCGAAATGCGCCGACCGTGCCAAAACAAAACGAACATCTTGCACACGGCCACCATTGTCAGACCCAATATGCCGCCGGTTTCAGATATTTTTGCCACCATTTCAACATCATCGAAAATTTCACTGAGTTGCGGTAGCAACAAATACGCCAACATGCCAACATTTTGATAAATCAAATTCACAGCTCCGAATACGAACCACAGTTTGATGAGCATAGATTTCATAAAGCCACGGCACCTGTTAGCCGTTTGATGCTCCTCAAGTGTGCCACTCAAACGAAACGGTTGAACCATGGCCAAATTGAAAGCAATATTTGGATAGACCATAAAGTCTTGCAGGCGATAGTGGGTGTTCATTTTGCTGCGGGGTGAGTTGATCGGCTGATGGCCTGTTGATTGTTTGTTTGATGTGTGTGTGTTTTTCTTTCCTATTGACTTTCCGTCTGACTTTTGGCAAAATACTTTTGCTTTGGCTTTAGTTTAGCGCCATGAGGTGTTGCCAAGAAATTTTTTGCAACTTTTGAAATATTTCTTAGGCAATCACTTCGGTTTTATGGAATTTTTGTGTTTTGTTACCAGAAACCAATTAGTTTTAATAATGTATAAGTATTCAATTAGCTTGTGGCGAAAAGGAATATTGACCTCCTTACAGAGTTGCCAACATAATATCAATTAGTATTTATAGCATTAAAAAATATAAAATATGGGAATAACTAAAAACGTTTGTTTTCGATCTAAGGCATTTTTAGAAATTTTCGGTATATGGAGGACCTTTCAAATATACGAATATTTTGTATAAGGAAATCCTTAAAGAATTGCCATTTTCGTCCAATATCCCCAAAAAATGGCAACATTACTTCATATCACAGTTTGAAATTAAATGTCTTTAGTTAGTATCTTGGAAGCCAAAATTTCATAAAAAATATTTATTTTTATTGAGGAAAAAAGAGAGGAATGCGCTTCTTCACCTCCGCCCTCTCCAAAATACTCGACAGTCTTGTAGAAGTTAATTCCCATAAAATTTATTTTTTAAATTATTTATTTATGTAAATTGTTTAAATTTGTGGAGGACACCTATAATCAAAAATTTACAAAAAAAACTAAGCAATTTATTTTATTAAAACAAAATTAAATTATGGCGAATGTGAATTATTCTTTTAAAATTGCTCAATATATTATAATAAGAATTATTAGCAATCAATCCTACAATGCACTGTGATTCAAAATCATTTTATCCTTTTAGGAATTTTGAAATATTTAAAAGAATAACGATTTTTTCAAATTGTTTTCCTAATTTGACAATTCACTTCTAAAAACTTCTCTCAATATATATTAAATAAATAGTATTAAAATTGATCGAATGGCGCCCAACGGACATTCCATAACGATATCATTAATTTATTAGGTGTTTAAAAATGCTATGGGCGCCCCTTCAATATTTTGCCACAATTCAGAAAATTTGAAAACTTTTAATGAACGGCGCCCAACGTTAGCTTTTTGGCTTTTTAAAAATCCAGAAAACACTCATCAAATGTGGTCCAACGTTAAATTTTCAACTGAAATTCTATAACAATATCATAAGAAAATTACATTATATAATACGCTACAATGTATATATATTCTTGATCAGAATGAGATTAAGAGTCATGTCCGTCCATTTGTATGTCTGTTGAAGTCACGAAATGAAATAGGTTGATATAATTTTGTAAAAATAAATTTTAGGTGAGTAGAATTTTCGGAATTAAAAGTGGGTCATCAGATTTTAATCATATGTTTGAAGATAATTTTCTGTAAATTAGCAGTTTGTGTTCCGTATATGTAGGAAACATCCAAGATCCAAGTTCAGGTATAGTCCCATATAACTGTACACCCGATATTCGGTATTTTGATTATTTGCGTCAATTTTTTTCACCCGAATTGTATTAAATTTAGTATTTGGAGTTCGTAATAGATACCAACTCCACTGACAGCAAATTGCTTTTACAGATCCACGTCTTGCCATAAACACCATATGACGTAACCTCCTGAATTTAGCTCCACCGGAATTATTTCAAATATGGAGTTGATAATGTGTACTATTTCCTATACCAGAAAATTTGCCAGTGTAGACCAAAGTTTTGGTATAGCTCTCATTAAACGCCACCGCCCTATATTCGGTATTTTTATGATGTTTGCTTCATTTTTCCACAGAATTATATTGAACTTGATATTCACGTTTTCTCATAACCCCGTATAACAATAACTCCTGATATTCAGAATTGTATCGGCAATTTTTAAATGTTATATCCGGAATTTTTAAATTGTTATAAGCAATTTTACAATTTTTTTTGTGATCCTACAATTTTTTTCCGAATTGTGGCGGTTATTAAAGCTCACAACTATCAACCTAGCTGTTTTTTTTTTTCTTTTACTCAGAACGGCGCCCAACGTAATCATGGGAGGCATGAATTCAGGTAATTCATTAAAAACTCCTTTTTACTTTTAAAACGTTTCATCAAATGGCGCCCAACGTCAAAATGTTGGATAATAATCCCTCTATATAGTTAAGATAGCATTGGTAAAATCCTGTTCAGGCATTGTTTTAGTTTCAATTTTATTCAGAAATTTGGAAAATTTTTAATATATGTGTTACTTAAAACAGCGGCCACCGTAGTCATACAATACAATAAAAACTCCTTTTGACTTTACAACAGTTCCATTAAATGGCACCTAACTTCAATTTGTTGGATAAAAATCTCTCTATATAGATAAGATAACATTGGTTAAGTTGAATCCCGTTCTGGCATTAAGCTCCACTTTCATTTTTTTTCGTTATGCTCAATTTTAAGTTTTGTTCAGTAATTTTGAAAAATGTTGTTGCAAAATGGTCAGGCTTATCCCTTTATTGTTGTCTTTTGAAAAATTTTAATATATACTTTGCTTAGAATAGCGCCCAACGTAATCGTGGGAGGGATGTATACAGTTAATACAATAAAAACTCCGTTTGACTTTTTAAAGAAGTTTTATTAAATGGCGCCCAACGTTAAGTTGTTTGATAATAATGTCGCTAAAGGTTAGGATAGCATTGGTTTAATTAAATCTCTTTCTGGCATTGGGTTCTAATTTTAGTTTTTTGTCATTGGGCTTCACTTTCAGTTTTGTTAAATAATTTTAAAACTTTTAATTTATGGCGCCCAACTTGGTTGGTCAACAATCTCACTTTAGAGATAAGTTAATCATTGGTCGACTTAAATTTCATACGTCAATCCCACGGCATTCTTTAGAACTGATTTGCCTGGAGTTGGGCGCCACTTTCTCCCTTAGTTCAGGTATTTCTAAAACTTCCGATAAACGGCGCCAAATATCAAATTGTCGAACGATATTGCAATGCAAAGCCAAGAAAAAATTACATTAATCGTATGGGTTTTCTACGCGATCGTAAACATACCCAACGTAATCAAGCAAGTAATTAAAGAAAATCAGTAAGGAAACGTCAAAAGTCGGGCGAAGCCGACTATATGAAACCTTAAACCACTATGTATATTTAGTAGAGCTCCCGTAACAAAAGAATTTATATTGGGAGTTTATTTGAAATAGATCATACCACCTATCAATCTTTGGCTTTATAGCAGATTTAATTGGATTCAGAAGGAGGTAGAATTTTTATTATATATCACAATTAACATTGCTATAAAATGCATGTTATCACTTCAAGATGGGTTGCATAAAAAAACATACACATCGGAGCCGATGGTCATTTGGGATAATATTGGCCATTTGATGAACAATTACCCGAAATCGGTTGAAGATGTATATGGGAGTTATATCTTAATTTGAATCGATTCTCATCAACTTCAATAGGGTTCGTCTTTGGGCCAAACTAATATTGTTTGGAAATCTCATCTCAATCGAATTAAAAATTGCGATCTGGATTTTGTTCAAAAGAATACATGGACAGACGGACTGACATGCATAAATCGCCACAGAAAGTGATTTTATGAAGATCCTCAAATTTGATGTATTTACTCATAGGGTTAGCGAATTTTTCGGTCAAAAATTGTTGAAAATTGGCGCCCAACTAAAAGTTTACGGCGAAAATTCCATTGGAATGTATTTTTTTGTTTTGGGTTCACAAAGCGTTGGGCGCCTCCTTCATGGTGTTTTCCAAAGAATGATCTGAAGAAACATTTTCAAAATTTTGGTTTTGATTGGCGCCTAACATTACTATGTTGGGAATAAGTTTAGGCAGAAGTATTTTTTCGACTTTTTCAGTTAAGAAATTTTGAAAATTTTGTATAATTGGCGCCCAACTTAAAGTTTACGTCGAAAATTACATTGGAATGTATTTTTTTGTTTTGGGTTCATAAAAGTTTTGGGTGCCACCTTCCTGGCGTATTCTTAAGAATGATACAAATTGAATTTTTGTTGATTTTTGAACTAATTGGACTATTTTAAAAACTTTTTCTTTGTCGGACCGTTAATTTCTTAAGTTTTTCTGCAATTAATTTTCAGTAACTGCTGCGGAATTCAAGATCATAATCCAACATAAGATTTTTTTACATTAGATTTTGCTTTAATTTTTTCAAAATTATTTTGGTTTTTGATTATTTTCTTGTGAAACATAATGTAAATGGCGCCCAACGTAAAATTGACTACTCGAATTCCATTGGAGAAATCAGAATAAAATATAAATGAATTTGAATTTTAACATTGAAGCATCGTAACCACCTCGTAATTAAGACAACTTCTAGAGAAATTTTGCACCAAAAATGCCTCTAAAAAATTCGGTAATTGTCAACACGAACAATTTCTTGTTTCCATTACATTAAATTTATTTTTCAAATACAATGTTACCTCCCATTTTAAATTCTGTTTTCTTTTTTTATGCTTTTCTACATCACCCACAATGTGAATGACAAAAGTAACTTTGTTCCGAAAAAAAACGAAGGTACTTTTTTACAACCATTCCATTTGTTCTGATTATGCCATCAGCTCTTTGATGACATTTCATCATTTATAATGACAGCTTTAGTTCCACATCTCGGCACAAACAATCAACCACACAAACAGACCGACAGACAGACTGACAAACAAACAGGTCACAATGGTAGAACGACATTTTTGTTATTGCCTTGAAATTTTCAAAAGTAATTCACAAAGAAAATCATCATCAGCGTCGTCTTTGTCACAAAATAGAGAGAAAAAACTCAACACAACTCTCGTAAATGTTAAATCTACAGGAAAAATGAAATGAAATTTCATAAAAGTAGAAATTTTACATTCTCGGCGGAATTGTTGCGTAAAAGTCTGCTTAAAGTCAGTTGAATGGAAATGTGGAGAATTTAAGGCTTATAATTGAACTTTGTGGGACAAATTTCAATTTTGGCTGAGATATCAGTGTTTGCCATTTGAATTGTGGGAAATTGAGGGATTTTGGTCGAAATTGAATAGATTTGTAGAGGATAAGGCTAAGGATAGAGGAAAAAGCTGCTATAGAGGCTAACATTTCTATTTAACATAAGTTCTCAT